ACATATTCCTTCCCAAAATGGGCATGTATTCCTTCCCAAAATGGGCATTTATTCCTTCCCAAAATTGGCACGTATTCCTTCCCAAAATGGGCACATATTCCTTCCCAAAATGGGCATTTATTCCTTCCCAAAATGGGCACGTATTCCTTCCCAAAATGGGCATTTATTCCTTCCCAAAATGGGCACGTATTCCTTCCCAAAATGGGCATTTATTCCTTCCCAAAATGGGCATTTATTCCTTCCCAAAATGTGTGTGCATTCCTTCTCAAAATGGATATGCATTCCTTCCCAAAATGTGAATTTATTCCTTTCCAGAATGTGAATTTATTCCTTCCCAATATGGGCATGTATTCCTTCACAAAATGGGCACATATTCCTTCCCAAAATTGGCTCATATTCCTTCCCAAATGGGCACATATTCCTTCCCCAAATGTGTATGTATTCCTTCCCAAAAATTTATTCCTTGCAAAAATGTGAACTTTTCCTTCCAAAAAAGGAGAATATTTTCCTTGGTTTGGAGGGCCAACACTGAGAAGGCATTGCTACAACACTGAGTATCAATGAACTCTGGATGAAAACTCACCTGGGAGTTTAGGGGCTTTGATCGGATATCCCAGAGGTAATCCTGGTTGCTGGCCACCACCAAAACCCCCGAAACCTAGAATAGCCAAAGGGGAACAGAAATAAAATAAAGCATAACAACAACAACAACAACAACAACAACAACAATAATCCATCCATTCAGAAAGTTGTTTTAGAGATGCTAACCTACCAGGGATCCCAGCAAAAGCGCCTCCTCCTGCTCCTGGAAAGGAAAAATGGAGAGAATTAGCAGAAATTGTCTCTCGACAGACTGAAATATAGCCAGAGAGGAATAGAGAAATGCAAGCGGTAGATAATGGGATTCCAGTGTGTGCCATAGAAAAAAATCACACTGTTTTCTGGTCTTTTTAAGAACCACTTTGGTTGGAAAATTCAATATATATATATATATATAGAAAGAGAGAGAGAGAGGGAGAAAGAGAGAGAGCACCCTTGAAATATGCCCAACCAACCCCTGGTTGGAAGCTTCCAAAGAAATCTAACTTCCGATGGAAACTCTTTCATTCAAAAAGTCCTCCCGATGTTTAGTTGGAATCTGTTTTTCAGTCATTGGGATCCATGGACCCTCTCCCCGTCTTCATGTGATCATTGTGGATATTGAAACATGGTTCTCGTGTCTTCTCCATGTGAAATATACCAGACTCCCTCAGAAGGTCTCCAGACATTAGTCTTGACTAAAGATGGACATATTAAGTCACTGAAAAGGACTTACCTGGGACTTTGGCCTTGAGCCCGTTTCCTGTTGGCACCCCCGGTAAGACCCCTACCCCAGGGTAGCGGATCCCTACAATCGGAGACATTAAATAACACCATGGGCAACAACATATGTGGTGGTTTGGATTCTTAAGTCTGAAATCCCAACAAAAGAACTGATGGGAAACCTGTTGGGTCAATCTGTCTATTCTCAATGGGACAAAACGTTGGATTGAGGGCAATGGACAGACCTCAGGCCCTAAATATGAGATATGGCCTACCAGGAGACCCTGAATTAAGCAACGCAATATCTGGATACTGGATTTTTCATGGGAGAAGGACAGGCAAGGGAATGATGGGACCATTGGAAACTCAACTCACCTGTCCCAGGGAGGACACCTCCGGGGAAGACGCCTGGGATCCCAACGCCTGGGATGCCAACTCCTGTTGAAGGAAGCACACAACCGGAGTGACCCAATGCCCCTTTCCTCATTCCTCCATTCTTCTCCAAGAGATGTATGGTATATGCCTTCAAGACCAACACTAAGGGCGGTTACTAGATTCACAGGTTGCAAGAAGGCAAGCTGGGCCTTCCAAAAAATATGGAGCTTCTCAAAGTGTCCTGACTTTCCCCCATTCTAGTGTCTGTTTTAGGCATTTACATGTCTAAAGGCCTTCATGTTTCAGGTCAATACCTAAAACAGTCACTAGGTGGCAAACTATACTACTGTCTCTCAACCCCAATGTTCAGTTAGGGGTCGGACTCACAGATTAAGAAGCTTTGCTCTAAACAGTTGATTCCACTGTTGAACCACTCTTACCATCCTAGTGTTCAACTAAAATCTACCTTCGTGTACCGTCAAGCTATTAAACCAGGTCCCACTATCTGGAGAACAACCCCGTTCCTCTCTCCCTCTGTGAAAACCCTTGAGATGTTTAAGGAGGGCTTCCTTCCACTTTCTCTTCTCTAAACTGAACATGCTCCTTTAGCCTTTCCTCATATGTCATGTTCTCCATCTTTCTTGTAATCTCCGTTGCCCTTCTCTAAACTATCTCCAACCTTATATCCTCCTTAAAATGAGAAATGAACTCTAGACTCCAAACAAGTAACTCAGAATATAATGGGACTATTACCTTTTGTTGGGTTATCATACAACCCTTAATCCTATGGGTCTCTCCTAGTAGCGATACATGAAGACAGTATGTCAGGAGGTCTTGTTTTAATTGGAACTTGGCCCTATGAGAAAATGGGGACCTACCAGGGATTTTCCCAGGCTTGGCCCCAACGCCGGCTCCCGGTTGGACTCCAGTCTGTGGAATCACACCTCCTGGAGAGAAAAGGGAAAGAGAAAGAATGGGGAATTGGCACAGGAGAGATACAATCAGGACACATCTTCAATATAGCTCTATGCGATCCGAGATAGGAGCATATGCACTTAGCTCCTATAATTGGAGACAGGAGCAGACAGGAACAGACACTTAGCTCCGTATGATCAGACACAGGAGCAGGTGCATTTTTAGCTCCATATGATTGGAAATAGGAGATCTCTCTTCAAGACATATGATCTGATTTAGCAGATGATCTCTTAGATCAGAGGCAGGAGGAGATGCTGTCTTTGGTCTATCTGATCAGAAATAGGTGGAGATGCTCTCTTACATCTCTTTTATTGGAGATAGGAGGAGATGCTTTCTTCTATCTAATCAGAGATAAGAGGAGATGCTCTCTTATGTCTCTTTCATTGGAGATAGGAGGAGATGCTCTCTTAGGTCTGATTGGAGATAAGAGTAGATGCTCTCTTAGATCTATCTGATGAGAGATAGGAGTAGATGCTCTCAGGTCAATCTAATTGGAGATAGGAGTAGATGCTCTCTTAGATCTATGATTAGAGATAGGAGGAGATGCTCTCTTCAGTCCACCTTATCGGAGATAGGAGGAGATGCTCTCAGGTCTATCTGATCTGGAGATAAGTGTAGATGCTCTCATGTCAATCTGATCAGAAAAAAGAGTAGATGCTCTCTTAGGTCTAGATAGATGATCAGAGATAGGAGGAGATGCTCTCTTTGGTCTATCTGATTGGAGATAGATGTTCTCTTAGTTCTAGAGGGGATGCTGTCTTAGATCCATATGATCAGATCTAGCAGGTGCACTCTTAGCTTCAGATTGATCAGAGATAGAAGGACTTTCTCCCTTAGGTCTGTCTGATTGGAGATAGGAGTAGGTGCTGTCTTAGGTCTATGTGATCAGAGGTAGATGCTCTCTTAGGTCTATCTGATCAGAGTTAGATGTTCTCTTAGGTCTATCTGATCAAAGACAGGAGGAGATGCTGTCTTAGATTCATATGATCAGAACTAGCAGGTGCACTCTTAGCTTCAGATTGATCAAAGATAGAAGGACCTTTTCCCTTAGGTCTGTCTGATTGGAGATAGGAGTAGGTGCTGTCTTAGGTCTATGTGATCAGAGGTAGATGCTCTCTTAGGTCTATCTGATCAGAGATGGGAGGAAATGCTCTCTAGTTCCATGTAACTGGAGATAGAAATGGATGTTCTCTTCGCTTCATATGAGAGGAGATAAGAGTAGATGCTCCCTTATCACCATGCAATCCCAGATGCTGAGGTACAGAAAGTTCAATCCAGTCCCCTCCCCTGAGTATATAGCGTACCTCCAGGTACTCCAATGCCGCCTCCAGGAATGCCAACCCCAACTCCTCCTCCAGGAACACCGACTCCTCCTCCAGGAACACCAACTCCAACGCCACCGCCGGGAACACCGACTCCTCCCCCGGGAACACCAAGGCCAGCCGCTGGTTGAAGAGAGGCAACACAAAGTGAGGTTGTTGTTGGGGTTTTTCAATCCTAGTGTAAGACTATGAGCAGTAAAGAAGGCACCACCCTTAGAGAAAATAAAACATCCACCCTTACTTCAAAGGAAGGATATGTGAGCCTGCAAGGATGCCGAGGCTTGGGAAAACTTTGACACAATCATCTGGATAATTGTAAGGATTGAAAAGGCAGACACAGAGAAGAGACGGGGAGGAAGACGAGAAAGGATGGGAAGATTTGCCCTTAAATCGGTCTTACATGAAAACAAAATAAAAGGTATTAATGAGTATGGATTCTGGTTGTTTGGAGACCTTCTGCCAGAGTTTTTATTTATTTATTGACCCAAACAGCAAAGGAATGTTGAAAGTTTTCAAAATGCAAGCCTGGGCTTTTGCAGTTTCCTATCTCAACGTCTTCAAGGAACGAAGGGGGAGATGCCAGCCAATGTTAAGAGTTTAAGTTCATCTCATTCATTGCCTATGTGTATGTATGCGTTCAAGTCTTATCTCAACTTGGAATGACCCCATGGAGTTTGTAAGGACCAAGGACCTGTTAACTCTTTCTATGCCACTGGGGAGCACTTGAAAAATGCTGGCCACAAATAGGAGGAGGACTTTTCAAAGGCAATACTATCAACTCACCTGCTTTGGCAGCAGCTTTATATGCTGCAGCGGCTTGTGCGGCGGTCCCAGCGCCTGGATAGGCCCCTCCCGGATAAGCACCCCCTGGATAAAGGCCACCTGAGGGAAAGCAGAAAATTGGTTGAATTACTCCTCTTTGGCATGTAGTAATTCCATTAAGAAAACCTTAGATATCTATTGCATACGTGAGGTATATGTCTGAGTGCCAAAACCTACAAAGATATGATTTCAAAGGGGAACGTTATCACTTATGGGCATTTGACTACATCATCATCATTAACTATTACGGCAGCCTTACCTAATGATCCAGCACCTCCAACCCCTGCAGAAAAGAGGGGGGAAAGGGGGAAAGTCAAGATGGATGAGGCAGCTGCTTCATCCTATTGATGTCCATTCAAAAGGGGGAATAGTTGAGGTCATTTCATGCCCCCCCCTCCCCAATAATAATATTCCGAACACTGACCTGGTTTTGGAGGTTTGGCCCCTGCACCGTATCCTGATGGAGAAGCAAAATACAACATTGAATTAAACATGCAATGTGTTTTGGAAGAGAACCAAAAGCCCTTTAAGCTGGGCATCTCTCTTGACAGGATGAGAATCCCAAGGAATGTAGGATCCAACACCCTGCAGTTAATTCCACTTTGAAGGCAAGCTTTTCTTAGAATTCTAGAGTTGGAAGAGATCCCAAGGGCCATCAACCCCATTCTATCATTCGGGAAGATACCATCCGATCCCTCCCGACAGATGGCCACCTAGACCCTGCCTCCAAAGTAGGGAAAGAGATGGAAGGGAGGAAGGGGGAAGGAATAAAAAGAAGTGAAGGAAGGGGAAGAGAAGGAAGGAAGAGAGAGAGAAAAAGAAGGGAAGAGAAAGGAGAGAAAGAAGAGGCCGGGCTTTAGCACAGTGAGTTAAACCACCAGCTGCAGAAAAACTTGCCAATTGAAAGATAACAGTTCAAGCCCGGGTTGGGATGAGCTCCCAACCATCAGCCCAGCTCCTGCTCACCTAGCAGTAGATCAGTGGTTCCCAACTTTTTTTTTTTAACCAGGAACCACTTTGACCAGGGGCTACTTTCCAACATTAGTACCAAAAGTTAGGGCAGAATATAAATAAAGTATATCATTATATATTATTTATTAGGCATGTGCGATCCATGGTTCTAAATGGTTCTAAAGTACTTACAAAACTAGGGGGCGCTGGTGCTTTGCTTCTAAAGTGTTTCTAAAGCAGGTGCTTTGCTTCTAAAGTATTTCTAAAGTTTAGAACTCTAACAAAACTTTCTAAATTTCATTATTATTTCGTTAATGGTGATTTTTATGACAGAACTAATTAGGAACTGCCATTTATAACAAAATTTTGAAAGTTTTGTTAGAGTTCTGAAATTTTCACCACCAGAACTTTAGAAAAACTTTAGAAGCAAAGCACCAGCACCCCCTAGTTTTGTAAGTACTTTAGAACCATTTAGAACCATGGATCGCACATACCTATTATTTATTAAGATAGGAAAAGGAAGGAAGGATGGAAAGGAAAAGGGAAAAAGGAAGGAAGGAGAAAAAGAAGGTAAGAGAAAGGAGAGAAYGAAGAGGGAAAGATGTATGAGGGAAAGCAAGGGAAGAAGGAAAGAAARGATGGAGAGAGAGAGAGAAAGAAGRTGTATGAGGGAAAGGGAGGAAGGAAAGGRAGAGCCACAAAGAAAATACATATCCAGTTAAAAGCAGTGCCAAATCRCATTGATTYGARGAAGGATGAAGACCTTGTCAAACGACAAGTCCCAAGGGTCCCTAGCCTTGAGCCAAGGCAGTTCAAGGGATGTCAAGCTGCGTTCCTTCGACACAGTGTAGATGCATTTGCAACCCATCAAGCAAAGAGAGGTGTGACTTCTTTTTTTTAGTATCCCATAAAAGCCAGGAATGGAGAACTATTTCAGTTGTGAGCAGCCAGCAAATGGGACCGCTTTACTGCTCACCTTTGACTCCGGATGGTTTGCCGGAGAGCCGAAAAGCCCCGGTCCCAGGATGAATGACTCATTGAGCCTCCTCTGGGTCGGGCAATTTGGTTTCGGAGCGTGCTTTTTACCCTGAACAGACCAGCAATCTTCCCAGATTTAACTCCATCCCCTTCTCTCGAAATTGGGGTTTTCCTGGCGACACTCCAAACCCCGGGCACCGAGGCCACACTTTTGGGAAAACGGCGCATATTTGAGTGAGAAGATCAGCTCCATTTGCCTCTTTAAGAAGCCGCAGATGGAGACCATCTGGTTTTGTGAAATCTTGTTGGAGAAAAAAGGAATCCGGCTGCGGACTTTGATAAGTAGCATCAGGGTTGGAAGGAAAATCAAGACCCGATCAAATCGCCGGCCATTGAAAAGGACCCATTGGATGGTTCTACATGGTTGGGTTAATGCGGTTTGGCACCTCTTGATGGCTCGAGGTTACAAGGTCCTGGGAGTTGTAGTTTGACCAAGGCTTGAGCCTTTTCCCCACCAAAGAGAGTGGGAGATTCCCCAAATTGCAACTCCCAGGATTCCGTAGCAATCAAAGTGGTGTCAAACTGCATTAACTTGAGTGTGTAGATGCAATGCATAGCATTCCATATCTAAGTCGATTATGGGTTATTGTAGTGGGAAATAACTCCAATGGGGGGGAGGACTCACCTGCTCCCCCCAATCCAGTCCCAAGTCCGCCAGCTCCTAGACCTCCAACACCGGCTCCTAGACCTCCAACACCGGCTCCTAGACCTCCAACACCAGCTCCTAGACCTCCAACACCGGCTCCTAGGAAGAAGAAGAGGAAGAAGAAGGTCCCATCTTGGCCTTCAGGGAGCTCTCCAACGTTCTGGAGATGGTCGAGAATGACCTTCAGACCCTCGGAGATCTCCAAAGGCCTTCTTGAGATCCCTGAAAATCTGGGATTCACTCTTGTGGTCTTTCAAGTAAGACAGAGGACTCTCAGGGTGAGAGAACAGTCCTAAAAGGTATGTCTCTGTGTGTGCCTCTCTCTCTCTATATATATCGACTCAGTCCTCTACTTTTGCGGGATGAGCTTATTTTAGATGACTGGCAGGCAGAAAGACCCCGAGGTTCCTAAAGAGCTACTCTCTCAAGTTAAAAAATAATAATTTGTGGATTTTAGTCCAAACTTGAAAGCAGCTACAGGCACCCCCTAGTGATGGTTGCAAGTCTTACCAGGGTAAAGCCCTCTTCCGGGAATCCCACCTGCTCCGGCGCCTGGGACTCCTATAGGAAAAAGAGAACACAGATAAGAGAGGCAAATATTTTGCTTCGAAACTTCAGAACTCACCTCCACAGGACACCATGATGGCCTTTAATCATTACTAATGGGTTCCAATGGGACTTTTTCATGTGTCATGTAATTTGTTGTGCTTTTAAAAATGTGTATACTTCTTTAAGAAAATTGAAGGGGTCCCCATAAGTTGAGTAGGGTCTTAAAAGCCCACATTAAGACAAAGGATGGGAAACAAATGAGATGAACTGAAACTCTTAACATGGGAATGCAAGGACAATAATAATAATAATAATAATAATAATAATAGTGGATGACTGTCCCATTGACAAGGGCCTATATGACCTGAAAGCGGCAGATCCCCCTCTGATCTTGGAAGCTAAACAGGGTCAACCCTGATTAGGACTTGGATGGGAGGCCGCCAAGGAATCCCAGAAACTGTAAGTGACATTTCAGAGGAAGTGGCAAAACATCATCCGTCTGTTGGCAGGGGACCTCAACATACATTTGAGGCCTTCCCTGGCAACGTATAGAGCATTTTCTTGGCGCTTCCTGCAGGCGCTCTGGTTTGCCTCTGACCATCTGGTCAGATTGTGTAACAGAGACCTTTGCTGGGCCACGTTCCCGTATGTGTCCCCCCATTGCCTCCTTTTCTCTTAAACAAACACCAATCCTAGTCTGGGGGAGCAGAGCAGAAGAAACAAATATATGGAAGAGACAATGTCAGCGCAGCCAAAGAACTAGAGGCTGGAAACATAACACTCGAGGGTTTGTATTGGATGAGGGTTACATTAGGAAAAATGCCATCTGTCCAACTAGTAAAGCCAACTCTTGGGTTTGTAGTCCGAACTTTTGAGTTCTCTCATTGCTATTTTGGAATAAACCCGGACCCATCAGCCTAGAAAGCAATTTTCAATGTACCAAATACAAACCAACCCATTCCCTGGACAGCCCTGAAGCCAGAAGATGCCTTGTAAATGCCGTTATGAGTCTTTGGGGAAACGTAAAAGTTGCCTGTTTTCAATTGAGATGCAATTGTTTGGAATCGTGGAAAACTTTATAGGGGGTGAATCCATGGGCGGAGGGACTGAATTAATACAACTTGCCTCAGCGTTCACTTCTCAAGTTCCTGAACTCTGGGGATTGCGGGCAATGATCCCCAACATTGGAGGGTTTTGGGCTCCAGCTCCCAGCATCCTTGGCCATTGCCATGAAGGGCCATTGAATCTGGGAGCCAAAGTTCAATAGATCTGGAGTTCACAGTTGTAGTATTACAAGGTCTTGGTGTCTTAGCTAACTATAACTCCTAGGATCCCATAGCATTGCGCCATTGCAGCTGAAGTGGTGTCAAATTCCATTCATTCTACAGTACAGGTATCCCCAGGATCCCGTACACCAATATATATATATATATATATGGTTTTCGTATGCCTCCTATAGCACTCCGTTGAGTGGGCCTGAAAACAAGTTTCCAAAACTCCGAACATTCCTACTTAATTGCCCCAGGGATGGCAGCCAAAGTGAAGTTGGTGCAGGCCAGAAAAATCCCCCGGATGCCTGGATTGAGAAACCCATTGGACGGGACAAGGGATTGAGAAACACCAAGAAGAAACAAAAGCTGGTGAAATAAATAAAGATGCATGGAGCCAGGAGGGGGAGGAGGGGGAGAAGAGGAAGAAGAAGAGAGGAGGAGGTGGAAGAAGAAGAAGTGGAGAGAAGAAGGGGAGGAGATGGAAGATGAGGAGAAGAACAGTCTGGGAGAAGGAGGAGGAAAAGGAAGAGGAGGAGATAAAGAAGAAGAGAGAAGAAGGGAGAAAGTAGAAGATTATGGCGATAACAGTCTGGGAGGAGGAGAAGAAGAAAGAGAGCTGGGGAGAAGGAGAAAGAGAATTGAGGAGAGGAATGGGAGGAAATAGATGACAATGAGAAGAACTGGGAGGAGGAGAAGAGGAGGAGGAGGAGGAGAAAATAAAGAAGAGAGAAGAAGAATAATTGGGGAGGAGAAGGGGAGGAAACAGAAGATTATGAGAACAGTCTGGGAGGAGGAGGAGAGGGAGAAGTAGGAGGAGGAGAATTGGGGAGGAGAAAGGGAGGAAAGAGAAGAGATGGGAAGAACAGTGGGAGGAGGAGGAGGAAGAAGAAGAAAGAGAAGGGAGAAGAAAGGGAGGAAATAGACAATGGGAAGAACAGTGGGACAGGAGGAGATAGAAGAAGAGATTAGAAGAAGAATCGGGGAGAAGAAGGGGAGGAAGTAGAAGATGATGGGAAGAACAGTCTGGGAGGAGTGTTCAGTCTCCTCCCAGTCTGGAAGGAGGAGAAGAAGAAGAAGAAGGAGAACCAGGGAGAAGAAAGGGAGGAAATAGAAGACAATGAGAAGAACAGTCTGGGAGATTGGGAGGAGGAAGAGAAGAAGAGGAGGAGGAAGAAGAAGAAGAAGAGAGAACAAGAAGGGAGAAGAAAGGGAGGAAATAAACAATGGGAAGAACAGTGAAAGGGGAGAAGGAGGAGGAGGAAGAAGGAGAAGAAAAAGGGGAGAAGAGGGGGAGGAAATAGAAGACAACCAGAGGAGGAGAAGAAGCGGAAGAAGAGGAGAAAGGAAGGGTAATAAGAAAAGAAAGAAACAGCAAATTATAAGAATAAGAGTCAGGGAGGAGAAGGAGGAGGAAGAAGAGGTGAAGGAGTACAAAGTGGGAAAGGAGGAAGAGAAAGTAAAGACAAAAATAAAAAGTCAGGAAGAGAAGAGGAAGAAGAGTTGGGCAGAAGGAGGAAGAAGACTAGAAGATGAAAAGAAGAATTGGGGAGAAAAAGAAGGTAGAAGGAAAAGAGGAGGAGGACGACAAAGAAATTTAGAAGAAGGATTGGGAAGAAGAAGCAACTTAGACCGTGAAAACTTTGCTCGTGTACTTCAAAAATTTGGTTTTGGTTTGTGCTTCCAAAATTGTTTTGTGATATCACAGAGGGACACTTCACCTAGAAGCAGCAACTTGTACATACTCTTCCAAACATAGATAGATAGATAAAGAGATAAATAGCGGATTTCCAATCCCATGTACCACAAGAGGAACACCTTTTCTAAGCGACTTCAAAATTGAGATTATTCTGCGTTTTCATTCTAGCTGATCACAATTTTCAAAAAAACAGAAGCCTGGCTGGCTTTGTGTAATTTATGCCGAAGAGCATGTGGACGAGGTTAGCTTTGCGGAGAAACACATGGCCGAGCGAACTTTTATTTGGGATTTAGGCACAGCACGCCACGCTAATAGCGACTTCCTGATTATAAACCTTGGGAGCTATGCGTCTGAGTTGTCCTGTTGGTCTCTATTTAAATGATTCAGTGCTCGGAGTAAAGACCCGGAGCATGTGCAAAGTGTGGGCTCATTGTCTCAAGCTGTTCTGTATCATTTTCTAAGAACAAACACTTAAAATGCTACTATTTGGAGTTTAGTCAAGAACATAAACAACACACAGAAATAGTAAAATAGTCAAAGTACATATATAAGTTTGTTCCTCAAAAGGCTCCTTTGTGGTTTGATGGATCTGGACCAAACTCGGTACACAGACCCATCATTACCCAAATTAAAATACTGGTGGGTTTCAAATACATAAGCTTTCCACATTTGGGGTTAGGGTCCCAAAAATGAACCAACAGGTATCTTGGGATGCAGTGTGCAGATGCAACCACAAGAGGGCGGTCAGGAATGAATCTGAATTAGTCTGTGTTGGGAGCATTCAAAGAATTGTAAAGTTAAGAGTGAGTATTTCTAAGAAATAGCGTTGGAAAATATATATCTGGGCAACACCAGATATATACTTCGTTGTTGTTGCTGTTGTTGTTGTTGTTTGTACCCCTTACTCCACACTTCTCCCAGACCTGCGACTCAAACTGGTTCATATTTGTAAAATCTCTCCAATATAAGAACCTAGAAAATACATACGAGTTGCTTGGGGAATCAATCAAGTGAGAACAGAAGAATAGTAGTAGTAGTACAAGTAGTAGTAGTGGTAGTAGTAGTATCTACATATGACAAAATATGTCCCCTGAAGGCATTTTCTAGGTCCTTCAGTGCAACTCTATGCTATTCTTGGGCCAGAAGTCCTTCATTTTAATAAGGTTTGCTATTATACATGGTTTCGGGGATCCAAATTAGCCGGTTGCCTCCTTTGAGACACAACAAACCACAAATCAGCCCCATGGATCCCACAAATCAGCAGGAAGGATTACCGAGGATGAGTTACAAAGTGCAGAGAATACAAAGACTTGCGGTCTGTTATCTTAATTTATGGCCCAGTTTGGAAACGAGGCCAAAAAAATATAAAAGACGTCCAGATATTACAAGTCATCGTGTAGATTGTTCCTTTTTTTTATTTTTTTGCTGGTGCTGAGGAGGACTGAGAGTTGGTTTCCTTTTAATGAAAGTAGAGCATCTGTTTTGGGTTTTAGTCCAAACTTTAAAGGAACCTAGCATTCTATCAATGAGAAGAAGAAGAAGTCAAAGGAGAGCCACTTTGGGGTTTAGTCCAAACTTTAAAGAAACCTGGCTTCCAATTAATGAGAATAAGAATGAAAATAATAATAGTAAGTCAATAATCCGCTTTGAGTTTTAGTCCGAACTTTAAAGAAACCTAGTTTTTTATGAAGGTGAAGAAGAAGAAGAAGAGGGAAGGAGAAGAAGAAGAGAATCTGCTCTGGGTTTTAGTCCAAACTTTAAAGGAACTTACCCTCTATTAATGAGAAGAATAATGAAAATATAACAATAAGACCAGATTCCGCTTTGGGTTTTAGTCTGAATTTTAAAGGAAACTGGCCCCCTATCGATGAGAAGAATAATGAAAATAATAATAGTAAGAAGAGACTCCACTTTGATTTTTAGTCCAATTTTTAAAGGAACCTAGAAACCACTGTAAAGAAACCACCTTAAGAAATCACCCGAAAGGCACCAGATCCTGCCTGACATTACAATACAGGGTCTACTTTGATTGATCTTTGAAGGGA